CTCTTAGAGGGACGGAGCTTGGGTATAGAGCTCATGTTATGCACATGCATATGAATGAAATAGTTAGCAACATAAATAAATAAAAAAAATCCCCACAAAGAATTCAATTTTATTAGGTTTTTTGGATAACACGAATTTTTTTGTTGGTCTGACTCTCGACTGTCTCCAATGAAGTTACCAAGCTGTCATAACGTATAAATCCAGGGATCTATTATTAAACATTGACTTAAAGAGTCTCCACCAATCTTTTTTATTTAGGTGCGATTGACCATCTAACTGAATCTATTCTTTTTTAAAGAAAAATCTTAAGTTTGACTTAGGTATCCTTAAAATGTAGATTCAGTGTTTCCGAAACCAAAACTAAGTCTGAAAGTATGGTTACGTGTGAGCAATGTTATAGCACCCTCACACACCCATCGAAAAATGGTACCAGCTCGATTTCGCATTATCCATTAAGCCTTAAAAATCTTACCAAGTAATTAATTATTGAAAATTATCTTTAATTAACTTCAATACTTTTGGTAAAAAATTAAAAAAAAAATTTCACCTCAAGAGTATACAAAAAAACTATTGTTTCTCCTGCAGAAGCTTTGTCATCAGATTATTTGATATTAAAAAAATCTAAAAAAAGAAAAAAATAATGCTTCAACTCTTAATAGAGATCTCTTTTGTTATGTTGTTATATATATATATAAACTCATGCTTTTATACAAAAAAAATTGATACTTTCAACTTTTTATTAAAGCATTTTGACATTTTTATTTTCAAAAAAAAATTAATACTTTCAACTTTTTCTTAAAAATGTTTTTTTTTTAAAATTTTATTTTCAAGAAAAATTGATATTTTCAATTTTTCCTAAAATTTTTTTTTTGAAAATTTTATTTTCAAAGAAAATTAATACTTTCAACTTTTTCTCAATAATTTTTTTTAAATTTTATTTTCAAGGAAAATTGATATTTTCAACTTTTTCTTAAAAAATTTTTTCAAGAAAAATTGATACTTTCAACTTTTCCTCTAATAATCTTTTTTTGAAATTTTTATTTTCAATAAAAATTGATACTTTCAACTTTTTAAAAAAAAAAACCTTTTTTGAAATTTTATCTAAGGAAAATTGATATTGTTAACTTTTCCTCAAAAAATTTTTTTTAAAATTTTTATTTTCAAGAAACATTGATATTTTTCAACTTTTTTTGTAAAAGTACATTTTTTGAAATTTTATTTTCAAGAAAAATTGATAATTTCAATTTTTTCTCAAAAATATATATTTTTTAATTTTTATTAAAATTTTATTTTCATGAAAAATTGATACTTTCAACTTTTCTTTAAAAATATTTTTTTTGAAAATTTTATTTTAAGAAAAGTTGATACTTTCAACTTTTCCTCAAAAATACATTTTTTGAATTTTTTTTTAAATTTTATTTTCAAGGAAAAGTAATACTTTCGACTTTTCTTCAAAATATATTTTTTGAAATTTTTATTAAAATTTTATTTTTAAGAAAAATTGATACTTTTCAACTTTTTCTCAAAAATATTTTTTTGAAAATTTTATTTTAAGAGAATCATTGAAAAATTAAAAAATGCTTACTTAAATAAATAAATAATTTTAATTTAATCAATAAATAAATAGGGAAAAATAATGATAATAATAATAAATAAATAGATAAAAAAAAACATTGATGTGGCTCGATTCGGCTGGAATGAGTGTGGCTCCAGAAACAAGAATGGCTAAAGCGACTTGGTGTGTGGTTCGGCTCAACAGCTCAACAGGGGCTGAGTGATACAGGTAAACGGGTCGAGGTGCTGCGGGACAGGTCGGATCGAAAGAAAGCACGTGGATCTTGTTGGGTTCTTAGCTAAAAACGACATCATTTTTGGGCTATATAAAAGGCAAAATTTTCCTTTTGTCCTCCGACGCTTTTTCTTTTTTCTCTCTCTTCTCTTCAATTTTCTTTGCGTCTCTCTTTAGACATGAAGAATGCCGTTGAAATTCTCGCTTGTTTCTTGGTTTTATCACCAAAAACTAGATTTTTCATCGAAAAAGTCACAAAAAAACTTGAATCTTCACAAAAAAATTCAACGGATTCTGAAATTTTCAGAAAAATTGCAAAAAAATTCCCTAAAAAAAATCTTTCAATCTAAACAATATTTCCCAAAACTTCCTACTGCAAACTATATTTTTGAAAATTTTTATTTTTGATTACCTCTTATTTTCTCCCACTCCTTTCTCTCTGTGTTGCTCTACGTGATTGATGATTTATATAGGCCTTGGTTCACCAGATTACACGAGCGTTTAAAAATAAAAATCCCTTTGTATTTCAAAAAAAATCCTATCCTTTGATACGGTTATCTTTGCTTTGAAAAGGATCCCTTTTTGTTTTATCACAATTTCAAGACTCAAGTCCTGATCTTAGAATTTTACTAGGACTAAAACTTTATCTTTATTTCTTTATTTTTTTAAAATTTACATTAGCTTATCTGCAATTCACCGAAAATAACTTGATTAAAAAAAATGAATAAATAAATAAAAATAAAAATAAAAACAGGTGTCTACAATGTATAAATAAATATATGTACACACGTGTACATTATTAACTTTGTTTATGCATATAACAACCAGACCACTTTTTACAGTACCAATCAATCAACTATACAACTTTAGTCATCAGTTGATATTGAATTTCCTTCTTAATAGAGAGTATTTTTTTTATCCGTTAGCACTTAAAGTTGGTGCAAAGAAATGAAAACAAGCTATTTTGTTCATATACTTTTAAGAAGTCTTGTTTTGTTCCTTTTGATTGTTTATTTTCAATTATATATATTTTAAAATTTAATTTAATTGACTCGTATATTTATCTTTAAAAATGATAATCAACGAATCAAAATTTCAAATATGACTGCTTCCCTCTCCTCTTCTCATGCCTCACTTTTTCCCTTACGATTTGGTAAAAGATTGCGCTGTTCCCAATGATTTTCTTTTCTATCGTGAACATAAGAAGTTCAGAAAACTTCCCCATTTGCATGGCCAAAGAAAAAGGGCAAAGCCAAGTTGGCTGACATGACAAAAATTAGTTCAAGCTAATATGGGCTAAGGGACACGTTTCTTTTGCTCAAAGGCAGATAAGGTCTTTTTCAAGTTGGATAATGCCATAGCTGATCCCTGAATTTGTCTTGAGGCAAACAAAACCAAGTTGGCTGACATGACAAAAAATATTGGTCTGCAATAACAAATAGGTAAATATATGACCCAACTTCATAATTTATCAAGCTTATGCTCCTTCACTTCGGCAATGATTCAAGCAACAGGTTTGACTTCAAGAAAAAAAAAAGCATGGGGGAATGTCAGCACTACTTTCGACTGTAAAGGGCCCTAGAAGACACTCCTTCAATGGTGCTTTTTGTATAAGATACCCAGAAGAAAAGTTTTTAATAAGTCAACGAGTACTTTTTTTTTCTTTGTGCTGATTCTGGTCCATATACAAAGCATGCATGGTTCCCTTTGCATCATAAACGTCTCTATTCATAAGTCAAGATAAGAACCCTAGAGAGATGTGATTGGTGCCACTTCAATATTACTCTCAAGGGGACAAAAAAAAAATCCGATTGCTTTACCAAAAACTTTTGACCGGTTTAAGGAGGTTAGATTGTTTAGAGACAAGGTGATTTTATCATGACATTCCTACATTGTTTTTCTTTTGATCTTTTTAAAAAGCACAATGTTTCTATCAAAATTGTTCAAATTCATCAAAACCAAACAAATATGTTATGTGTTGTTTCTAAATCAAATAATGAGATTACACCTAATGGGCTTATATATATCATGAGTGGGAAAAAAAGAAACAAGTTTGATCAAATGACTTTAATGGCAAATTTGACTTCACTTTTGTGGAATAGTTTAGAGGATAATGACTACATTCATCTTGATAGAAAAATCAATAGCTGGTAGAAGCCAAAGCAAATTTCAATGAACTTATTACATCCTTGTTGAGGCTGATCAGGCAGTAACCACTAGAAGCTGCAGTAAACATGATGAGGAGCTCAAATTTTGTTTATTGAGGCTTCTACTGGTTTTTCTGCCTCACTGAACTCTGTACAATCCATTGCTACAACTCTTAATAGGCTCTTTAGTCTTTAATATAATATCATAAACTATATGACAACGGGAAAAACAGAAACTCTTCCAGTTTCAATGAAAAAATAGGAAAAAAAACATGTTATTCGTTTATGTTGAAAGCCATACGGCATTTACAATGAATGGAATTGCAAAATGAAAAGTAATTAAAAGTTTGAAACATAGATAGAAACTACAAGTAAAAGCATAGAAAAGATAGATATGTCTGACTATGATCTTAGACAAATGGTTTTCCTTGTGCTGCAATGCAGGACTTAGGTGCAGATGCTATTCTCCCATACTGTGACTTCCTCTTTTTGTTCCTCCTTGACAACTTGCTCTCCAGGTTTTTCACCCTTCCATTTAAGTCTGATATAACAGCTGATTGTTCCTTAGTTTCTACCATGAGCATCTCAACCATCTCCCTGAGCTTCTTGTTCTCTTCCATGATCATCTTAACATCTTTTTCCAGATTAACAAAGCTTTCTTCATTAGAAATCACCACCTCGGCAATTTCATGAGGCACCAGTTTGGTTGCCAGAGGTTGCTCCATGCTAACACTAGTTTTTTCTTCTTTCCCTTCTTCAAGTAAAGTTTCTTTTTCTGGAGTTAAAATTCCATGATCTTCGTTCCTTCCTTCGAAGTTGAACTCCCTCAACACCATATGTGAAGGTGATGAGGAGGAAGTTAAGGAATCACCAGCTTTCAACTGATCATCAGAATCACTAGGGATGGACTCCATACTATCATTAAGTGCAGCCTTGGACTGTATTGTTCTCGTGATGAATGCTTTATCATCAGAGATTCTTTCCGTGTAAGATCATTGGTAATGATAGCGAGACCTTTCATGGTCTGGAAACCAACAGAGGATAAGAACCATTCCTTCCAATGTTTAGGCTCCAAAGAATCCCCAGACCGAAGGGCGCGGATTAAGTATGCCAGCAAAAGCAGAAGTCTTCATTGCAAAGCAAGCCGAGGCGTTGGAAGGAGTTGCTGATGAAGAATACAACCCTACAACAAGCCTATCTCGAAAGAAACCAATGGCGTAAATCTCAGTAGAAACAGCAGAAGTTTTGCTGAGAAGGAACTGGGGTGAAACGTTGAAGAGAAACTTGTCGTTCCAGGTTGGGTTTTTGCCACCAACACGATCAACTCGAGTATGAAGCTTGGTGAATGAATCAACCCAAGCAACAGCATAGGTTTTCATGCGACGATGGGGTATAACTGATGACTCTACAAGCCCTTGTGCGGAGATCAAGTTGATCTCTAGAATCTTATCAGTTGTTGTTGTCTCCATTGTTGTTACTCGAATCTTCTGTGAAATCTTTCTTGTAGTTGCTCAAGGTTCGAGTTCGTCGTGCTTAGTTGAAAGAAAGAAATCAGTTTGAGTCGGCTGATAAATGAATTGAAGGCATATATAGGATTGTTACAATCAGAAGCTTGGCGTTGATATGAAGCAGTGGAGCGAAGCAGCTTATAGCTAAGGGCAAACTGGCAAAGTAGCTTGAATTACACGTATCTAATTATGGGTTATAGTATACTTTTATATTACAGTATTAACCAAAGTTAACATTCATAATTTGAGAATCAAATATATATATTTTTAATGGAGGCTGTACTGTGGTAGCATGAGATAGAGAAACTGACTATTGACATTGGGATTAGAATTCTAAATTTATTGGATTTTTATGATTTACGATTAGACTAAATTTTGGATTCGAATATTAAATGCTTTAAATGGCTTAATAGTAATTACTTTACATTGATTTTTTTCCTCTCATGGGATTGGGTATATGACAACTTTTCCTGTAACTCTCAACTCTTCCGGTTTCAACGTAGGAAAGTGCTTTGACAGAATGGGAGAAAGAAATCATGCCTTTGGGATAAATAATTTGGTTCACTTTCCCATTCTCTAGGGAAGTTTTCAGTTTTTCTAGAACAGCTACATTTGAAGCGACTATGAACTTGAACGCTGCTACAGTAACAACACCTTCTATTATCTCAACAAGCCCACTGCTTTCTTTTACTGCCCTTTCTCATTGCCCTGTTTTAATATTTACCATGAAAATAGAGTTAGGTTTTGTTAGTTTAAGTACAAGAATAGATTTACCAGCAGAAAACCCAGAGCGGTCAAGGCCTTCATATGCAGTCTCAATGGCCTGTGGCATTCCTGCAGCTTCAGCAAAACTCTGGGTTTTTTCGGTTTGAGAGCCAACAGGCAACAGCTATGTACTCATCTAAAGTGCCATAATGTTTAGGTGATATCCAGGGCTTTCTCATGAATGTTTCCATATATACTTCATCTCCCACCTTCAAATTCTTAACTTGGCTTCCCACTTTCAGCACTACACCAGCAACATCATATCCTGGAACAGTCTGAAAAGGACAGATTATAAGAAAAGAAGAAAGAATTAAATACACAACCCAAAAAAAAAAAAGCAATTCTATAAACAAGGAAACTATTCAATTCTGAAATGCTAAGCTTTCCAGTAACAGAAATTGGGACTACAGAAGGAACAAATAGTATTATAGTATAATGCTATTTGCTTCCTTACTTGATTGAACTTATTTTGCATATTAATTAATAATTATTTTCTCTAAGATTTTTAAAAATAATAGTTTGTTTAAAGTAAAAAACCTATCTATTTATCTGGAGAAGATTCGATGTTAGGGATTGAACTTAATATAAATTTTGTCATAATAACAATTAAACCTTAGAATGAAAATCCAAATATGATTCATTTACCATTTATAGTACTCCTATCATTTAAACTCTAGATTCTAGTCATAAGCATTCCATATTCATAAAATATACTATGATTCATTTACCATTTATAGTACTCTTATCATTTAAACTCTAGATTCTAGTCATAAGCATTCCATATTCATAAAATATACTATATATAGAGTCATGCCCAAGCAATTTATATACTCATCAAGATCTTTTCTAACTAGCTAAAAACACATTCACTAAATTTTCATCATGAAAGGTTTCATTTCCTTTGTCCTTTTGACTGTTCTCCTTAGCAGTTTTGGTGAATTTCCTCTCTCATTTTTTTTTCTAGGGCTATTTTATTCAAGAACAACTTTTTTTGTTTATTTATTTTGGGTTTAATTCAATTATAAATTTTTTTTTTCAGGAAGCGAAGCAGCCAAGGAGGAGGCTAATACTTGCAAAGTTTTGGTAAACATGGTGTGCAAGGTTGAAGATTGCAAAGCAAAATGTAAATTTAGTTTTGGAGAAACCGCTGTTGGGGAATGTGAAAACAGTACTGAATGTGATTGTTATTATCCTTGTTAAGTTTTTACTTTAAAAGTAATTTTCATTGTTCAAACTCCATTAAAGGAAGAAAGAAATAAAAGGAAGTCAGCAAATTATTCTATCTTTTGTAAGATGAAAGATGAAAGTGGGGTTGCATGAATTAATTGTTGTTCATTAGTCCTAATAGAGTTGATAGAATTAATAAATGCAATTATCACTAGTCTTTATTTTTTGTTTCCATCTTTTTCCTGTTCAGCTCCAAATTAAACCAACCATATTTTTCACTACTCTCCAGTTCTTAGGACTTTTCAATTCTTACTGTTTTTCATGATGAAGTTATTTGCACAGACAAATTTCCTCAACAAAAATTATCTGAATTAAGCATCAGTTTGTTAAATTTAGATTTCATAATTATTTTCCTATATCATCTATAGAATACGATTCGTAATTCAAAACATCAAAATCTGGTTGAGCAGTGGCTATATCAAGTATTTTGCCTATTTAGTGATAACAATTCTCAGTTTATAGTTGCTATTTTTTTTTATTGAGATCCGTATTCAACTTATAATATATTATCTGCTTTGATTCAAAAAATTTTATAATTTTGTTTCACAAAAAACACTTCAATAGGTTAAAGTCTTTACATATATCACATAGTGGATCCTCATAATATTTTGACATGAGATTCAGATGTTAAATCTTAGTATAAGCATTTTCAGTGATCAAAATTCTTAGTTTACCGTCATTCTTTCCTTCCTTGTGTTTCTCTTCTTTGTGTTTGGTTGTGGTTTATTCTTTATCGTTGATCTATAGGAAAAATGAACATGGTACTCTTTTCAACATGTTATTAGCATCTGCATTTCATAGAATAGATTAAGATTCAAAAGTGAAGAACTAAGTTTTATCTCCTAAACATCTGATTCTAGTAGAAGCCAAGGTCTAAGACCTTTGTGTGTGGTCCTTAAAAAGGGAATCAATTTTAACCATGAGGCCAAGATGGTGCCACGTGCATGGTAAATATCAAATTCCACTGAACGTGAAAATTATTATGGCTTCTTGATAATTGATTATTATGGCTTTCTTCCAAGTTTTACTCTATAATAAGGATTGAAGATGTCAATAACAAGCTATTGCAACCCCAATCTCACAACGGATATTATAAGAATTTGATATGATATATATAGGGGTTTGAATCCATATTTATGAGGTGATTTTTGTGAAACAATACCTGGTGTGGATCTTCTCAGTTATAATATAAATTATAGCAGGATAGACATAATAAAAACAGCATAAGATACGGGAAGATGGTGGTATTAATTATTGAAATAGAAGGAGATATATATATTGTCATTTTAAAAACAAAGAGCACTACAAGGTGAGAAGTTTAGATATCTTAGCTAGTTTAGGCATTCACAAATGTGATCCCAATATAGGAGATGGTCTTAGAATAGTCATATAATCCCTTTTATTCATACCTTGGCTGGTACATAGATATATAATTCCTTATTATTGCTATTACAATTCAAGGGGTAAACTTAAAAAGTATCTAATAATGCTCTTCTTAGACATGATGGCATTCAAAGTTCATGCAGAGTCCAAGCACCAACAGTAGTAATCAGACCTTGAGATAGCCAGCATATCTTCTGGGGACATCCATGATGCAAAGTTGTTTTGATTTTGAGGGTCGGAAGCCAATGGATATTCTTCTCTCCTATGAACTTGGTTCCTCATCCTCAGGTAAAGCCTCATTGATGCAACACAGTCCTCATAAGGGTTTTGAATTCCAGTTTGGATGTCATACCTGAACATAGAATTTGCACCATTCTCTTGAACAATTATCAATAATAGATGTCATGAAAAAAGAAAAATAGTCTATATAGATATTTACCCCAGGTACGCTTGGGTTAAGTACTTGAGTGAGTTGCTAAGTTTGCTTGTTTTCAGCAAGGGCGGATATTTCGCAGTATCTCTGTAGGTAAAAAAACAACTTAATTATATCATATTAATTGTATTTTCCACATGAATTTCCCCCTTGGTTCTAAAAGTAGAATATATAGCAAAAGATGAATGTGCAATTTGGATTATTAGCATTATCCTTAAATTTTACCTTATCATGATTCCTGGATATTCTACTTGCAGACGGTCAAGGTCATGATCAAGACCATGGCCGACCAGAATCCTAGCTTTTCCACCTTTAGCTGATCGAATTCTCCACATTGGTTCTCCATTGCAAAGGAAGTCTTGAATCCTTCTTTGCACTTGTCTCAATGGCATTGCATCTCTCAAATATTCCGGTCGAATGCCAGTGGTTTCATACCTGAAAGTAGTTCAAAAATGTGAATTGGCTTATTTGATCCAATTAGTTAGATCAATTACTAGAATTTGCCTATTGACATAATTATCATTATCCATAATTAACATGATACCTATAGTTTGTTACTGGAATTGATGGTTTGACATACGTATGGAAAATTATATTCTCATTTTCATCAATGATGCAAACCCTTGCACAAATATCCAATGAGCCATCACTGCCACCACCAACCATTTTGCATGCCAGAGCAACCACTTGCTGGCCTCTTGAAAAACCATTGTCGATAGTCAAGCTATCTTGAAGACCTAAATTAGCCAGGCGAGCCAGCATTCCCTATAACAAGAAATCAAGTAAAAGCACATTTTAAACTCAAATTTGAGAATTGGGGGAATTTGGTGTTATAGTTGAAACATGTAGTTTTTGAAGCTAAAGGTTAATTACATAATTTACTCCGGAGAGCTGGCATCTGTCTTGATGAATCCTAAGAGCATAAGGGCTATCCAGGATGGTTAAGCAGAATTTGCATCCTTGGATGTTGAACAAATTCTTGCATTCTTGTTTCGGCAATGGGCCTATTACGAACAAATTAGTACTCAAGAGTCAAGAACCTGTCCCCAAGAAAGAACAAAAATACCCTTTGGATTAACAAGACATGTATAACAATGTGCACTCACCTATAAGATGTTCCCTTAAAGATTCAAACGACTTGCAGTGTTTCTTACAAATTCCGCAAGTAGGTTCATGAACTGAATGATACATAGTTCTCATGTGATGAACCAGGTGCTCCATTCTGTTGAACTGTCTGAAGCAGGCTGCACATTTGTTCCTGTAATTCACAACAATTCATCGATTAATTTAGCATCAGAATCACTACCATCTAAGTGATAACATTAATCTTCAGAGTGCATTCTAATTTTTTGCTTTTATGTTAGTTCATTTGATAGGTGCATGCTCGTGTGTGTGTGTGTGTGTGTGTGTGTCTATATGTGAGCGAGTACATGTGGATCGAGATAGAATACCGTAGGCTCTCTGCTGACTCCATCTTGTTTATTGATAATAGTTGAAAATTTATTGTTTTACCTTAGGAGAAAGACCTGAGGAAGAAGATGGGGTACGAGAGGGTATTTATATCGGTTAAGGAAGAAATTTTGAGTCCCACTTAAGCCTAAGGATGATTCCTTGAGAAAATTAGTTGAATTTTGAAGCTTCTATATCTCTACACTAGAACATTCGCAGTAATCTAGATGCTTCGAGGCCCACGGATCAACTAGAATATTTCCTTCACTATCTCCTCCATATCCTTCACTTTTTATGTGCAGATAAATATGTGTATACGCGTATGCATGTATGCATGATTAACTTTATTTATGCCTGTAACAACTTGACAACTTTTTTATAGTATCAATCAATCAGCCCTACACCTTTGGTCATCTGTTGATATTGAATTTCCTTCTTAATAGAAGGGTTTCTTTTAGCATTTTACACTTAAAGTTGGTGCAAGGTAATGAAAACAAGCTATTTTGTTCATTTATCTTTTAGGAAGTCATGTTTTGTTCTTTTTGATTGTTTACTTTCAATTTTATAAGTTATATATATATGTTATGAAATTTAATTCAATTGATTCATATAATTATTTTTAAAAATGACAATCAATGAATCAAAAATTCAAATCTCACCGCTTCGCTCTCATCTTCTCATGGCTCACTTTTTCCCATAGGATTTGGTCAAAGATTGCGCTGCTCCCATTTGTTTTCTTTTCTTTCATGAACATAAGAACTTCGTTCACAAAACTTCCCCATTTGCATGGGAAAGAAAAAGGGCTAAGCCAAGTTGGCTGACATGACAAAAAACTAGGTCAAGCTAATATGGGCTAAGAGACACCTGATCATGTTCATCAAGTTCAATGTCCTTTTACTTTCGGCAAAAGCAGATAAAGTCTTTTTCAAGCTGGTTAATGCCATGGCTGATCTGTCAATTTTTCTTGCATAGGGCAAACAAAACCAAGTTGGCTGACATGACAAAATATTGGTCTGCAAAATCAAATAGGTAAACATGACTCAACTTCATAGTTTATCAAGCTTAAGCTCCTTCACTTTTGGCAATTATTCAAGCACAAGAACTGAAAAAGGTTTGACTTCAAGAAAAAGAAAACACATGGAGGAATGTCAGCACAAGTTTTGACTGTAAAGGGACCCTAGAAGACATTCCTTCAATGGTGCTTTTTGTATAAGATACCCAGAAGAAATGTTTTTAACGAGTCAACGAGTACTTTTTTTTTTCTTTGTGCAGATTCTGGTTCATGTACAAACCATGCATATGGTTCACCACTCCCATAAACGTCTCAACTTCGTAAGTCAAGACAAGAACACTAGAGAGCTGTGATTGTCCTTCATTTTGACAACGACATATATAACTAGCTACCTTTTCTCTATCACAGCTTGGCATTTGACACTGTCATATAGTTTTTGTTCGATTAATCTTTCCAAATTACATGTAAATGTAATTAATCTGATTCCTGTTAACATTTTATACATGGGAATGGCCTCATGTCAACATCCCTTACCATCAGATCAATATTCTCTTGCTATGAAATCAGAGTAGCTTTTGCATTAATTCCTATGGAGGTTTTTGAATCACTTACATGCATGTTGGACTCTACTTTTGGTCTGCTATTAAAACAGGACAGCTTTTCATGTCTTCACCTATTGCCAAAGTTTGGCTCTCGTCATACACGTTGCTGGCTTATGGCTTGGGACCATATCTCTTCTGGTAAGACCTTCTAAAATCAATATTTGTTGGTGCATAGTCTTTAAAATCATTTTACCAAATGATGCTTAGATATGGATACCCCTCACTGTTTTACCAAAATAATCTACTAACTAAGATAGCATCATGCATCCCATCATGCATCCCATAATAGATTATAGGGTAAACTTCACGTACACCTTTTATGATTTGTGACTTTTTCACTTATAATTCGTATAAAATTTTTTTTCACTTATAATCATATAATTCATTTTCATTACCAAAAGAGATACCGTATTAAAAAATAAAAGTGAGTAATTTTGTAATTTTACTAAACTATACTTGATCTTTAATGTTGTTATTCCTTTTTTAGAATGAAAGTGAAACACAAGATTAAAAACAAAAAAAATTTACACAAAAAATGTAGGTAAGAAAGTCGCAAATTACAGGAGATATAAATAAATTTTCTATAGATTATATATATGATGATTTTTTTTTCTTTTTGGACTAGAATATATATGGTGAAAATGAGACTACTTTTGTAGAAAAAAGGGAAGTTCTATTTTTAACTATCAAAAACAGCTGGCCACCACCATGGAAGTAATGTGACTGAGGGCCATTACCTTCGTGGCCAAACTTTTTGGTGATATGAACCACATAGTCATCCTCTTGATTTACAGTGAACCAATAAAACCCAAATTGAAAAGAGAGAAAAAGATATTAGAATCTTTCAAAAGGATTGGCCAAGAAAACAATCTTTCAAAATGGTTAATAATTAAAAAAAAAAAAAAAAAGACTGCCTCTACGAACCTAACAATGATGGGAGGGGATGGGATCCTTTCCCTCTATCTATTATTAACATAAAACATTCCATCTCACCTCCAATTCATCCATTCCCTCACTTTGACAAGAAATCTACTTTAAGTAATTGGTAATTTAAACTATTCTAACCTTTAATATTAAGAAAAATGAGAATTTTTTTATGATATTTATATATATATGTCAAGGAAGAGAAATGGAGATGATTATGTACACGTGATATACATACTTAAAGGGAAAATGGTTGGATATATATAAATTATTGTTGTATTATTGCTTTATAAAATAACAATGAGATTGTGAATAATTACGTGATTTATTGATAAAATGTTGAATTTTTAATTCTAATTACTAGAAATTAAACCTTATGGCCTCTCTAAGGTGTGATTAATAGGGTTCAATCCCTAAAAATCTTAAATATAAAAGTAATAAGTCTAATTTTTTTTTATTGTTAATCTTATTAATTTGTAAATAAAGCCCACACTAGAGAAAAGAATGGATTTTGTTTTGGGAAACAGAAGGTCCAACTAGAAAATCAGTCTTCTATCAAAATAAATAAAAGTTATCACTTTATACCAAAAAAATAAATTAAATAAAGTTATCACTAAATTAATGTCTTCATTGTTTTATAATTAAAAAGGTTTTTTTTATATATATTTGAGATTGTAGAATTTAAATCTCAATAAGGAAAATGAAAAATCCAACGCTCTATCAACAAATAACATCATAAAAATTTATTATAACTACATGAATTTTAAAAAAAATTAATTTTCAAAGCAAATAAAAATTATGTTACAATAAGTTAATAACGAGCTTTATCTATAAGGAATTGGCATGATTAGATATATGAAATATGAAGTGACGGCTTAACAAATTACAGCAGATTTGCATCAACAATATTCAACAAGTGGTTTTCTTATTTCATAACTGCCTAAAACCTTAACATCTCCAAAGAACAAAACCTGTCCATTCTAACCTTAAAGAGAAGCTTTTAGTTTGCATTTTTGTTTATTTCTGTTTATATATAATCCCTTGGGGAAGTATTTTTATATATCAAATTATAAATTAATAATTAATCAATTAATCAAACCAGTGAGAAAGTCATACATGAATTATTGAACAAAATGCTCGATATTCATTATTTAAATTTTATTGTTTATATATATATATATATATATATATATTGAACATTTAAATTAAAACATGCATGACTCAATTTGATGATTTGTGCAATCAATCAAATTAAACTATCTGTAAATGATAAATTTATATACTTTCTTCCCCAACATGTAGCCAACAAAATGAAACTTCATTTGCATCAACCAAGGAACTTATAATTAAGTCAAAGAAACTTTTATAAAGGGTAGGCACCAAGGCGCATATATACATATATATATATATATGCAAAAAGGGTAGGTGTTGTTATTCCATCTATCCTTTTTATTGTAGTTGAGATTTGAGTATCAGGTGATTAGGGTTTGCCACCATCATTTTCATATTTATTTTCATTTCATTTTATAAATAAAATATTGGCATCAGCTGTCAACGTTGTTTGCCGTTGAGAGGAGGTAATTTCTTAAATCGTGGGTGACATTCACCTATCTCTTTTGTAAAAAAAATAATAATATATTTAATCGGTGTATATTTTTTAAATCATTATTATTAGCTAATCATGGTGATGGCTAATAGTGCTAATCCAGATTAGCTAATCATTGGACAGGAATCTGTTAAAGTTTAATAAAAATATACCAAAACCCATAATCACATACGTACATATATATATATATATATATATATGCATAATTTAACTAATAAAATTTTGTTAAATTTTATTTGATTATGACATAAATTTAAAATAAAAAACCCATCTTTGTTAAGATTGAAATGAGCTGAAAGAAGAAACAAAAATGTTAGCCCTAATGGTCTTACCATGTTAACCAGGTCAAATTTAGAAAAGAAATTCAATATTTTTTAAAAAAATCTTTAAGTTTTAAATTTTGGGTTTGATGATATTTAATTATTTTTAATTAATATCTATAAACATTCATTAACTAAACTCTCTCTCTCTCGCTCTCTATTTCTATATAAGTTGAACGAGAAAAAGAATTATAATTTTAAAAGATGATATCTAATAAATTTAGATTTTAAATTTTAAAATGTGTAATTTTTTAATTTTATATTGCATTTTTTTAAATAAAGTAATTAATGAACTAGCTACCTAGTTTTGATTTTCTTTTTTTAATTAGAGCTATGATTTAATTTTATAGTGATTTTCTAAAGTAGATTTGCTATTAAAATTGTTTTTATGTTAAAAAAACAATTAAACTTTATTGTTTCTATTTGTAAATGTAAATTATATACTAACTTCTTTATTGTTAAATTGAAAAAAAAAATTGTTAAACTGTATAAAATTATTCAATAAAAAACTATTCATTTACAATATTATTTTCAATAAAACAAAATAACACAAATTAGTTT